GACATTTGATCCATTAAAAGTTGGCAAAATAAAATCATTATAATTGTATGCCCCCAAACCAGGTTAAGTGAATGTCTTAGGAGTATTCTTTTGAAAGAAGTGCATAGGTTTCAGTTCACGGGTGGACTTGATGGGGATTTTGGCAAAAAGGCCTTTTAGTCCTGGCTGTTAGCTGAGTATTTGGCTGGGCCGGACTTCATACAGAACTGTAAACTAAAGAGTTCAGCTTCTTCACAGTATTGTAGCAAGAATGAGAAATCTGGGTTTAAATATTGGCTCTGCTACTTACTAGCCACACACCTACATTCTTGAAACATTCATTTTTTTCCCCAGTGGCATGTAATGTTTATGGAGAACTTGGCTGCATGCCAAGCCACTGTCCTGTATCACTTTTACTGCTACATCCGATTAATTCTCATTCTAAAGCCTGTGAAGTAGACAGCATTTTCCCCATTCACCAGTTAATAAGTTCCAAAGTGAAGTAATTTGATGTCATATAGCTAACAGGCAAGGTCAAGGTCTAACCTAGAGCTGGGTCAGAACCCTTAGCTATTCATTGATTCGGCAACAATCATCTGAACTCCTGCTATTTTCTAGGGATTGGACTGGGCATACCTCAGAGAACAAGACAGACACAAATGTGTTGTTCAGAGCTTATGTTCTAGGAGGGGTAGCAGTGGAGCTGAATGGTGAGCAATAGACACCAATATGAATTCCGTAGCATGTTATTAGGTCATGACACAAAACTGCCAAGAGCCAACTATTTTTTACCTACAAATATGGTAATTTCCAGTAGTTCAACCTAGCAGAAGGTATAGAGCATAACTGACATAAGAGGAGAGTAAGGAGGCTCTGCAGTGGGGGGCAGGATGCAGTATTAAACAGGGGAACAAGTGGAACTCCACGAGGTGACATTTTGCAGGGAGGGGACTCAAGGGTGGGAAGACAGCACTCACATGAGTAACATCTTCAACTGTACAGACTTATGAAGAACAAATGCAGTAGTAGGAATGAAAATGGCTTATAAACTAGTAAGTTTTTGGACCACAGCACATTATTATTTAGTATTATCTAAAGTATCCTACTTTACTGCTGGGATTTACAGCAAATGCTTTATGGAAGAAATATAGCTAGATGACTCTCGAGATTGCTAGTTATCCCTTACCTTAAGTAGAGTAGCAATTAAGGGTTTTGGATTAAAACTTTCTTCTAGGGGCTAATAGTTGGCATGGTGGTTAAGGTGCTGGACTCCCACATGGTCAACTGCAATTAAGTTCTGGAGATGGTGGCTTGCTTTCTCACTTTCCCTCTCTCTCTCTCTCTCTCTAGCGAGCATGAAAATAATATGATAATAATAATAATAAATAATTCTAAAAGTGAAAACAACAACAACAACAAAAAACCCTTTTCTTCTGGGCCAGCCCTGTGGTCTAGTGGTTAAAGGAGCTAGATCACATGGCCAACTATGGTTTGAATTCCAGCTCTGGCAGCTGGGAAAACATGCCAGGTGCCATGTGCACGTGTGTCCCAAATTCTGACAAGATGGAGAAATAAATGAGAAGGGGTTTGCAACATGATCATGTCCCATGGAGAGGGGTGCTTTCTCCCTCTGTCTCTGGCCAGTGCATGTACCCTCTGGCAATTAACAAATTTTTTTTCTGCTCCCCAAAAAACCAAAAAGATATTTTTGGTGGTATTCTTTGGTCAATACAGCATTACCTACACAAAGAAGGTAACAGGACATACCAGAAGACAATGTGTTAAGATGTAGCTGATATTGCGATCTGAACAATTTAACAGAATTCCAAGAGAAAGCCATGTTAGTTTAGAGATGCCAGATTCTTAGAAGGTACATATATAGTAAAATGAAATAAAATGTACCATATTCTGAAAGTTAATGCCTCTGAATTAGGTAGGAATTTTGCTAGCTACACCAACTCATTCTACCAGAAAATTATTTGCTGTGTTTGATAAAGATTAAAATTAAACTAGCTACTAAAACTTAAAACAAGAAAGAGGTAACCAAAAGAAAACTATACAGGGGTAATGTGTAGAGAAATAATAAGTATGCATAGTTTCTTTTAAAAAGACAGACTTCTGTGATCAGATCCCTATTATGGGTACTCTTTTCTCCCCCCCCCCATATACCCCCATCATGTGTGCACATGTGATATCATGAATAATTAAAAAGAGAATTAATTTTAAAAAGTTAAAAAATAAAGACAGCTCTTTTTTTTTTTTTTGAGAGATTGTTGCTATAGGACGCGTGTGCTCGCCAGAAAGAGAGAGAGACAGAGAGATAGAAAGCAAGAAATCATCCCCCAGGGGGATGGCCACGCCGCAATCCCTTCTCCTCCATTCTCCTCCCGGGATCTTGGGCATGCACGCACATGCGCCCAGTGTGAGTTTAAGCCACTGGGTCCGGGACTCAAACCGCAGTCGGCTACATGGGAGCTCAGCAGCATAACCATTATGCTAACTGCTGGTCCCCGAGACAGCCCTTGTTTGAAGGATTTTTACATTGAAGAATTCAAAAAGTGGTACTTTTTTAAAATTTATTAATTTGCATTTAAAATGAACTGCTGACAAAAATTCACTGGAAATAATTTGAACAAGTGAGAAAATACAGTCAATGCTACTGACACGCCAGCAAAATAATTCCAGCGCATAGGTTTATTTGACAGAACCAAGTATGTTAGATGCTGTCATGCATGTGAACACTGACTGCTCCTTACTTTTCTAAACACGCAGTAGTATAATTAACAGTATTCAATTGCTTCTGTTCCTTCCTGAATATATAAAAAATTAAAATACCAATTAAAAAACTAATATATCTTCTCTTTAAATGTTTCTTACAGGTACAATTTCAATATTTTCATTGAACAGTGGTGTGGTTTAGAGATTTTTTTTTCTTTCACAAGTTAAACAACAATCCACCCAAAGGGAACTGATAGTCTATAGGCTCATAGTGCAAATAAAGAGTTTGGGAATGCAGCAACTGACATGTCTAAAATACGAAACAGAAAAATCTTAGAAAGTACATGCAAAAAGCTCTACTAAGCAGATGGCCACAGAACTAGACCGTTTGATCACTTTACTGGCGATGTCAATGGGACTCCAGAAGTTTCTGAACTCAAGTTGAACTCTCATCTTAGGCTTTGTACTTTGCTTTTCCAGTTTCACTAATGACACAGACATGCTATAAAATAAAAATCCGGAAATTCATATTAGAAAAGTATATTCTGAAACGAAAGGCAAAAACTGAATTTGCATATCCTATAAGAACAGTATTATGTTGCCAAGGTTCTCACTAAAGAACACAGATAGGAATGTTGCACTTTAGATCAGTAACTTTTGAGCAGTGTGTCTTTTGAAAACAAAGCAGCAGTTTGTCCATTAGCTTGATTTTTTTTCTCTCTCAATGTATCATTCTGAAAAGCAAATAAAGTAGGCAATTTTAAGTGTATCAAAGTAGGAGCCAGAGTATGTGGTAAAAGAAAAGATGGAGTAAAAAAGCCACGTAGCTGCAGTCCTAACTCTTCTTCAACCAGGATCATAAATGCACCCATGGGACGCCTGCCTCCAGAGCAGGAGATAGTGATCAAAGAGAGTGAATTAAACGACTAACTTTCATTTACTTCTTACATATGACCATATTTTTCATCCAAAATAATAATGAGACAGTTATTGTCTATTAAAGCTGTTTGAGCATTTCAGTCAGGGAGAAGTGTCACCCTAGCCTGGCTAAGTTCCAGCTCTAAGGACATGTGTGCTTAACTACAGCTTTATGTGACTAATGGGAACCATCAGTCTGTTCAAATTATGAGGTGCTGGATGGAGAAAACAATGTTCTTTCCTAATTTTTTTATGTGGGTTTTGAAAAATGAAAGTGAAAAAAAGGAGCATTACTTACATTCAAGTCCCTGAAGTATTCATTATAGTCAAGGGCATATCCTACAACAAACTTGTCTGGAATTTCAAATCCAACAACTAAAAAGAATCATAATTCATCATTTAGATATAGAAAACATTACTTTCAAATCTAAGTTTTGCAAATGTGCCTTTTCTATCAATATTCTCTTAAGTACTCTAAGCTATTTCACATAAGCTTTTTTAACTGATTGACAAAAAGTAATTTACTCATAGTCTGGTCTATAGCCAACACTTCGAGGGGTCCTTTTCACCAGCAAGCTGTTAATTACAAAATGTCACACATGACATATGGAAATACTACAGGGCATTACAAAAGAGAATATTAATGTTTCTAAACACTGTTTCATCTGCACTTAGCTTACATGGCCAGTTTTAACATACCCAGAGAAAGACTACAAAATGGAGAGACAGACATGGAAATCATGGGGAAGGGGCAGCAATGAGCTCACATTGTTGATAAGGACCTTAAATGAGCTCCACTGGAACCTGATGGACAGTTCTAAGCACTATATCCTGACTACATGTGTCCATTCAAGGGCAGCTAATCAGAAGGATGAAGGGTAGAGAGTCCCAACAACAAGCAAAGGTGAAAAAAACAAAGGTTCTCAGTCTAGGAACTACAGAAATAAAATCCCTAAACTGTAAAGGATGTGGGAGAAGCAAGCATCACCTTTTAAGACTTTCAACACTTGTCTTACAAAGAAGAAATTTAGGCTAAAAAATAACTAACGTGCTAAAAAAACCAGCATCTATTTTGGGGAGCAAAAGCTGGAGGTAAAGTAAGTCAAATCTGCCAGAAGCTAATTTTGTAATCCCAATGTTGCCTGTTGAAATTGTCCAGCCAATGTTGCCTGTTGAAATTGTCCAGCCATTACAAAAATGCTATAGATGGTGCTCTGAATGCCTTTATATATTTTAGGGTCGTCATGGTTAAACTTATGATTTTATACCTTCCTAGATAAATATATTTAAAGAGCTGGAAGGGGGCCCAAAGTGATTTTCGGCCTTGGATGCACACCAGAATCAACTGGGAGGTTTAAAACAAAACAAAACAAAACAAAAAACTTGGATATCCAAGCCATATCCCTGGCAAATTACATTTCAGAATCACAGGGGATGAGAAACAGGCATAGGCTGGTTTTTTATTCCTTTTCTTTTTGGTTCTTAGTTTACTATAGGGAAAGTACACTCACTGGAGAGAGACAGAGAAAGAGAGACAGAAGAAAAGTGAGAAAGCAACCCCCAGGATGGCCATGCCATAATCCCTTCTCTTCTATTCTCCTCTTGGAATTTTGGGCATACACGTACACATGCCCAGTGGGGTTTTCAAGCCTCCCAGACTTGAAATGCATGGTCAGCCATGTGAAATCCAGCCACCTCAATGACCAGGCCATGGGCTGGCCCCTCGAATGACTTTTTTTACTTTTTTTTTTTTTAAGAGGTTTTTGCTATAAGGCGCATGTGCGTGCCAAAAAGAGAGACAGAGAGACAGAAAGCAAGAAATCACCCCCCAGAGGGGATGGCCATGCTGCAATCCCTTCTCCTCCATTCTCCTCTCAGGATCTTGGGCATGCACACACACGTGCCCGGCGTGAGTTTAAGCCATCAGGTCTGGGACTTGAACCGCGGTCGACTACATGGGAGTTCAGCGACATAGCCATTACGCCACCTGTTGGTCCCATTATTTTTATTTTTAAATCTGATAATACTACTATTACCATCAGGTACTTATATAAATTCATAATTTGCCTATGTCATTTGTAATGTTACAATTTGTGCAAGTAGACAACTTATATTAAGAGTGACAGCAGGGCCAGTCCATGGCCTGGTGGTTCAGGATGCTAGATCCCACATGGCCAACTACATGGTTTGAGTCCTAGGCTCAGCAGCTTGAATATCACGTGGCATATATAAACGTGTGCCCGATGTTTTTGAAAGAAGGGAGAGACAGAAGAGAAGAGATTGTGGTTTGACAATTTCCTGGGGAGGTGCTTTCTTACCACCACCACTCCCATGGCCTAACAAAATTATTATTATTTTTTAAATTATTTATTTAATTTTCTTTATTTATTCACTTATTTTCATTTGACGAGAAAGAGAGAGTGAGAGAGAGGAGGGAGAGAGAGATACAGACAGACAGACAGACAGAGGGTAAGCCACCAGGTCCAGGACCTGAACCGTGGTCGGCCATATGGGAGAGTCCAGCACCTTAACCACCACGCCACCTGCCGGCCTGAGCAAAATCATTTTTAAAAAGTGACTCAGGGGACCAGCAGTTAGTGTAATGGCTATGTCGCTGGACTCCCATGTAGTCAACCGTGGTTCGAGCCCCGGACCCAGTGGCTAAAACTCACACCGGGCGTGTGTGCATGCGTGCCCAAGATCCCGAGAGGAGAATGGAGAAGAAGGGATTGCGGCATGGCCGTTCCCCCCGGGGGGGTGATTTCTCGCTTTCTGTTTCTCTGTCTCTGTCTTTCTGGCAAGTGCACACACCCTATAGCAAAATCCTGCCCCCTCCCCCCCAAAAAAGTGACTCAGAAAATACAGTTATAAAATTAAGTGACATGTTAATAGCCTCTATTATGAAACAAATTAACAAGAAGTTGCAAAAAAAAATGCAGAAGTGAGGTCCCATGTGCCCTATACCATTCCCTCCAATGGTAACATTTTGTATAACCATAGCAGATTATACCAAAAAAGCCACTGACACTGGTGAACTAACCTTATTCAGATTTCACCAGTTTTATATATTATCTATCCATATGTATACAGTTCTATGCAATTCTATCACATGTGGATTCACATAATCACCACCACAATCAAGATACTTTGCATTACACAGGACTCCCTCTTAAACCCTTTGGCAACAACTAATTTCATTCCCATTTCTGTAATTTTGTCATTTTAAGAAATCTGTGTAAAACAGAATTATTCAGTATATAACCTTTTGAGACTGCTTTTTATTGGTACAATTCCCTTGAGGGTCATCTAGGGTTGTCTTGTGTATCAATTACCAATAGTTCCTTTTTACTACTGAGTAGTATTCCATGGAATAGTTATGTCCAGTTTTGTTCTTTTTAAAAGATTTTTGCTATAGGGCATGTGTGCTCACTGGATAAATGGAGAGACAGAGAGACAAAAAGTCAAGAAATCACCCCCAGGAGGGATGGCCACACTGTAATCCCTTCTCTCCATTCTTCTCTTGGGATTTCGGGCATGCACACACATGCCCGGCATGAGTTTCAAGCCTCCAGGTCTAGGACTCAAACCACAGTCAGTCACATGTGAGTTCAGAGACATAACCATTATGCCATCTGCTGGTCTCAACCATTCACCTTACTAAAGGACATTTTGATTGCTTCCTATTGGAGCTCTTATAAAAAAGCTGCTATGAATATTCATGTACAGGCTTTTGTGTGGAAATAGTTTTCGCCTCTCTGCAATAAATGCCCAGCAGTGCAACTTCTAGAGTAATAATTTTTATGAGATTTTAATAAAACTTTCTAACGTTTTTCTCTTTCTTTCTTTTCAGAGTCTCACTGTGTTACAGTCCTCCTGCCTCAGAATCCTGAGTCACTGGGATTATAGATGTATGCCATCATGGCCTGACTAGTCAGTCATTATTAATCCTGCAGTGAATACCACCAGCAACAAAAAGCTTTATACTCACTCTTTTTATACAAAAAAAGGACAGATATATATGACATAAATAGATATACAATATATTTGCAATATTAAAATTTCATGGGAGTGATTAGAAAAAAATGGTTGAGAACCACTGATTTAGGTCAACTCTGTTACTAAGAAATGACCTAGGTTTTCTGTGAGTGCATCACAGTTCCAGTAACACAAAATATCTCTCTCATGAGCCAGTCTATCTTAATTCGACAGTACATTCCAGCAAGGAATTAAAAAACAATATCCAGAGTACTAAACTCAATGCCCAAATTGGGTGACATATAAAAATCCTTAAGAGCACATAGAGAAATAGCCTAGCACGCTGACTGGTTTACAGGATACAACTTTGTGCTCTAGAACACACCACTTACACACTCTCATTGTACTTATCCCAAATTCACTTAAAGGAAAAACTCATTGACATACTCTTGTACCAGCTATCAGAATAGCCCATAACAACAAACTGCTGACATGACTTATTTCTAGGCTTGCTCTGATTCAAAGATTCCCAACAGATACTCTGATGTTTTTTTTTTTGAGAGATTTTCACTGTAGGGCGCGTGCGCTTGCCAGACAGACAGAGAGAGACATAGAGACAGAAAGCGAGAAATCACCCCCCAGGG